GGGAGGAGAGAGTGGGGAGGGAGGGGGAAAAAAATGAGGAGCTGACGCCAGGGGATTAAGTGGAGAGGAAATGTTTTGAGAATGATGGGGGCAATGAATGTACAAATGTGCTTTACACAATGGATGTATGTATGGATTGTGATAAGAGTTGTATGAGCCCCTAATAAAACGATTAAAAAATAATAATAATAAAAAAAACCTGAGTTCCATCCAAAAAATCAGGAAGAACTGGGAGGTGAGCAAGAGTTCCAGGCCAGAGAAGAGTGGGGAGTCGTATCCCAGCCACAGAAAGGCCTGCAATGCCCATGACCTGTGGGAGGCGCATGGACACACACAGGCAGGCCGAGCAGGAGAGGGAGGAAGTACTAGTAGGGGGGACACTCACACAAATACAGGTTTGTGCACCTGGGCACTGAATTGTATGGGGGCAAAGTCATGAAAACACCTTAGACATAACCAAGCACTCTGCGGGGCTCAGGACCAAGTCTCAGAGGCACCCCGGTCAATTGACATAAAACAGATCTCAAAGACAATGTTCTACATCCTCCTCTAATAGAGTCCACTGCGGTCTTAAAAGCTTGTGAGTGGCTATCTAAGGTGCAAATATTGTTCTCTCCATATTGGGTGGCAAGAATAATAAAGGAAATCGAAGACATAGAAACAATTGGTCCACTAGGCCCCTGAGAACTCCCGCCTCCACAAGCCTGAGACGGGAAGAACCGATGGTTATTTCCCACATGGGCGATAGCACCCCCTGGGAGCACTAGAACAATCCAGGAGGCTGGCAAACAAGCACCTCCACTTTCTCCTCGATTATGGGCGAGATGGTTTTTTTTCTGGAAAGCAGACAGTAGGTCAAATCACTTTGGGAACCTATGGCCTCAATGAAGCCTGACCACGCGGAAAGGAATAGTACACCCTGGGCAGAGTGGGGGAGTGGGGGAACAAAGTGGAACAAACCTCAGAATCCTAAAAGAGATCAGGCTAACTGGTCGGAGCGGGACGGATGGAGCCTCCAAGACGAAGGTCTTCAGCCACCCTCCTGGTCTGGAACGGAACTCCACCACGTGGCTCAGTTTTCAGCCAAACAGGCAGGGCTCTAAAGGAAACAATGATACCAGTGAGGCACGCACCCGTCAGAAGACCAAAGGGCAGCAGCTCGCCAAGGACAAAGCTCAGAGGGGTGAGGAAAGGAGGAACAAAACTAAAAGCAGACTCGAAGCAGTTACGTCTCTCCATGCCCATCTAACAACCGCTCCCACGGGACCCATGTCTGTGAATCCCTCATGGATTGTTTTCCGTGGGAAGTCATTTCCAACCGTGAATTTGAGTGTCATCAAGAACTCCCTGGATGTAATACATATTTACAGATATACAAGGTCTCAAGAAAATGGAACTCCTAAGCGTGCACGCACAGAAAGCTACTGGAAGAGGCTCTTAACCAAAACAGGAGACTAAGTCATGCAGGAAGACATGAGATCCAGTGTTCTGGAGGCTGAAGCGCCGAATGAAGGTGCGAGAACGCACAGGTGATGGTTGATAGTGTTGGGAGCACTACCAAACAAACGCTCTTCAGGTGAGTTGGACAGCAAATGACCCCAAGGAAAGGACAGGAGGGGCAGGAAGAATAATTCTAAAAGGTGAAACTGAAAAACTATCTACTCGGCTTAAATGTCCAATAGAAATTCTAGAGCTCACCTTCATGAAAGGTGCAATTGAGAAACAATCCAAAGTAGGCAAATAACTTGAAAGGAAATATTGTAAAAAAAGGACTTATAGTGTATTTAGTAGTTCACTTGTGAGCAAGCACTATGTGATAGCGCTGACCAATGGTACAACTCCACACGGGGGTGCCTGGGAAGGGATGGAGGGCGTAGTTCTATTTGGAGAGTCACTACAAGTTGGTTAAATTTCATCTTCCACAGTCCTGAGTGTCAGTGGGTTAGGTGATGGACTGCTAACCACAAGGTCAGTGGTTCAAACCATCCCCCGGGGGAATATGACGCAGTCGGTTGTGCTAAGCCTTAGCGTCTCAGAAACTCTACGGAGGAGTTCTACTCTGGCCTGCATGGCCGAGGAGCCAGGGTGGTAGGTACAGCAGTAGGAAGAGGTGTTACTGTCTAAATGTGATCATCAAATTTTAAAAGCCAAAACTCACTGCATGGAGTCGACTGCACACAGCAGCCCTGTGGGGGTCTGCCCCTGTGGGTTTCCGAGACTGTCCCCCTCTACACAAGCAGAAAGCCTTGACTTTCTCCCTCGGAGCAGCTGATGGCTCCGAACTGCTGACCTTACTATTCACAGCCCCACAGCCAGCACGACACCACCAGAGCTCCTCGAACATGACAGAGGAACGTGAAATGACCTGGGCTGTGCCGCTTGACCTGCCCAAGAGTTATCATAACCAGTCTGAAAGTACACACACAAGTTATTGCAAAATGTGATTCACTCAAGAGAAATTTAAAATATTGCGGCACAGAGGTAACGCTTCAACAACAGTTGGAACGGCCATTTGATGGTCACCTTTGGTGCTTCGTCCCACTGGTGATCGGAGATGACTGCTCACACCCTTCAGCTCACAGCCACAGGACAAGCACAGTCCAAACCCGAGGGGTTCAAAGGGCAGCGGTCAGCACCTCTGGGGATCAGGAACTGGTGGGTGAAGAATGGCAGGGAAGTGGATTTTCATGGTAAAAATCCACATTTATATTTTTAAATGCATGTTTCTTTTACTAAAAAGTTAAGGCAGGACAACAAAATCAAACGTGCAAGGTGATGACAGCCTTTAATACAAAACTAAGTGGGAAAAAATGCTAGAAAGAATAGGCACAAACTGCTAAAATGGTGTTTATCTTTGAAGGGTGGAATTACAGATGTCATCTTTGCATTTCTGTGTGTGTGTGTGTGTGTGTGTGTGTGTGAACGTGTGTTGGTTTTCCGCAAAAAGCATGTATTGCTTCTAAAAGGTGTATGTGTTTTAAGGTAACCACCACCCACGCACTACCACAGGAGTGAATCAATGGGAATATCGGAACGGGGGATGAATGAGGGAGTAGTGACTGCCAATGCTCGCAAGAAATCTAGCGGACAAGTTCGAAAACGGGGGCCTGAGAACGGCGTGGGAAGGAGGTGGGTGTTCTGAAGCACCTGTGAGAGTGTATGCTCACAACGGACCCCAACTGCAGCGACCCTGGGTCACAGAGAGGAGAGACGCCCCCGGGGTCCCCCAGCCTGGTGTCCTGACAGGAAGACGGCCTGGTGGCTTCCAACTGCACCCTTCTGGTTAGCAGCCAACGCTTTAACCCATTTCACTGGGGCTCTTTGAATTTAAAGTAGAAAAGACTTAACTCTGTCTGTAGGCTGCAGGGAAGAAGCCAACTGATAGTGAAGGGAGGGAGGGACTGCAGGTGGAGCCAGGCTCAGAGAGTGGGATTCGGAAAGTTAGCAAGAGAGCAAGCACTTGCAGTAAGACGTGTGGAAGGCACCATCAGCTTTCTTCACCACATCTGCTTATGCGTCCATTTGTCTCCAGCGATCATGTCGGGAAGGGGAACACACAATGATATGATTTTTTTTTGTTCTTTGATGCCTGATTCCTGATACCTTCGACACCTCGTGGTCACACAGGCTGGTGTGATTCTTCCACATGGGCTCTGTTGCTTCTGAGCTAGATGGCCACTTGTTTATCTTCAGGCCTTTAAGACCCCAGACACTATAACGTTTGATAGCTGGGCACCATCAGCTTTCTTCTCCACATTTGCTTATGCACCCATTTGTCTTCAGATTGTGTCGGGAAGGTGAGCATCATGGAATGCCAGTTTAATAGAACAAATTGTTCATGCACTGAGGGAGTACTTCAGTGGAGGCCCAATGTCCATCTCCTACCTTAATACTAAACCTATAAATATATGCACATAGATATACTTCCCCATCATCATATAAAAATATATTTACATATGTATATGCCTGTATTTAGACCTCTATAAATGCTCTTTGCCTCCTAGCTCTTTCCTCTATTTCCTTTGACTTTCCTCTTGTCCCACTATCATGCTCAGCCTTCACTTGGGTTTCAGTAATTCCTCTCGG